TCATCATCATCATCATCATCATCATTTTGTTGTTGTTGTTCTTGTAATCTTCGTTGATATTGTCGTCTTGGTCTTCTTGGTCTTTCAATTGGTTTATCTGGTGGAAGAACACCACCATAACCACGCTGAATACATGTTTGTGTACTTGGAATACCTAATGACCAAAAATGATCTGGTGTACGAACCATTGGTCGTTGTCGATGACGACATTTTAAACCTTGTTTATGACGAAGTTCTTCAGGTAAACCAAGCCAATAATTACGACACATTGGACAAGCATAAAGTAATTCTTCATTTTCAATACCAGCATAAGGCGATTCAATAAGAGCTTCATTTTGAGTATTTTCTTCTTCATCTGTTGTTGTTGTTGTTGTTGTTGTTTGTTCAGGAATTGGATTATTTATAATTGGTGAAGAAATATGTTTACGTTTAAATGATGGTGAATTTGATATTTTATTATGTTTAATAGATATCAATAAATCCGATAGATTGTTCTGAAATAATTATGAATTTTTAAATGATTAAAAAAAATTCAAAATGAATTTTACTTGTTCATTATCATTATCAGACATTGATTCCGATGGTTGAGCTAAACCGATAAGTGATTCTGGCATATACATTATTGTATCATTGCTTAGTGTTTCCGGTTCTTGTTTTATAGAAGTTGAAGTTTCGATTGATTTAGGTGATTCAAGTGGATCAAATAATTGTGTCATTGTCATTTGACGCATTGATGGTATCGAAGATAATTTTTTTTGTTTTGAATTAGATGAATTTTTTGATTGACGTCGTTTTGTTTTCGGCTGACATAAATTAAGAAAAAAATGCACCTTAACAAAAACGATAATGTAGAACATTGCCTTACTGGTGTTATAGCTTCTTTTTTAATATTAATTGAATCTTTTACTGATGTCCAACTTGATTGTCGTTGATGACAAGGATTTATATCAGATTGTTTTCTTTCATTGGGAACAGCTAATGATGGGATAGTTTCATTTGACATATTATTATCTGATTCAATTGATGGTCGTAATAATTCATCTGTTGATTTTGAAGATAGATCAAGTGGATATGTATCAGTATCAATTTGTGATTCAAATGCAAATGGATCTACTAATGATTTATTAGTTTGATTATGAATAAGATAACTATCGACATTATTTTGTCGTTCATTGAGTGCATCTTGAACTTCTTGTATGAAAGCATACGAGTGTCTCGAGAGTCACTAGAATTCGAGTATTTTTTTTTTGAGAATTGGTGAGCAAGAAACATGAATAAAACACTGGAGCTTTTCTGTGGAAAGATGAAAATTTCTCGAGATTAGGGGATGACCTTTCGCTCAGAACGCCCCTGATAGATCCTTACATATACATTGGCCAAAGTCTTATCACCTAAAAATTTTCTCGATCTATTTTCAAGCCTTTTAATTGAACAAAGTCATTGTTTTTTTTACACGAATAAACACAAGAATAAAATAGATTATAAAATGTACCTATGAAAATAATCTTTTCTTTTATATTCGACTTTTTTTTTTTATTCCTTACCTCTGCAAACAAACGAAGAATATGTCCTTTTTGTTTCAATTCAAAATTAGGTATGGCTGATAAAACAAGTTCAACTGTTTCATATCGTATTCCACCATCCAAAACAGTATGTACTTGTCGTGTTGATGATCGTGATAGAGACATAATAATATATACTACAATTATTATAAATATAAAAATCACTAGTTCTTTTTTTTATTCACATTTGTTGTCTATTAAAAAAATATAAATAAATAGAAAAAAAAAGAAACCACAATGTAACATTTAAAAAAAAAGAAACTTTTGTAATAAGTTATTCGAAAGAAAAAGAAAAACCAAAATATAATTATTTGATTGTAAGTAAAAACACCTATTTTATCCAGTACGTCGTCGTGCATAACAACCAATTAGAGCACATAAACCAAATAAAAGAATAGCTAGTCCAATTAATAATGCAATAACATCGACGGCTGTCATTTTTGCTTCAACACTTGGAACAATTAATAATAGAAGAAAAATAAATGATGATTGAATTATGTCTAACATGATTATGGTTTGTATAACAATAAGTGACAAAGCACAATCTGAAATAATAAAAAAGTTATCTTCTTTCGTGTGTTTATGAAATGAAAAATAACTAAAAGAAAATAATCTGTGGCAAATAAATGAAAAGATAAGATAGTGAAGATGATTCAAAGGACCTTTAAACTAGACTTTGTTGACTAGGTTTTTATTTGTAACGTTGACTAATTAAAAAAAAAATATATATATATATTTCATTTACGTTATTTAATAAAATGAGAGTGAAAAAAAAATTAAATAAATGAACGAATCATTCAAATTAGAAAATTAAGCGCTACAATCAATGTCGATATGCTAGAAAAGAAATTTATATTTTAAAAAGAAATATTTTTACATAAAAATTATTTCGAAAAATTTTCTTCTATATTTTATTAGAATTTTTTTTTTCAAAGTTTACTTAATTGGTTTTATATAACCAATAAAAATAATAAATCAAACACTTTGAGCTATTGGATTCGATCATTATTTATTTCCTGTTTACTTAGTTATTACGATGAGTTTCTTCGATAAACGAACTCCTTTTGAAAAAGCTAAAGAACAAGTTTGTTTATTCAAAAAAAAGAATTATTCTTTTATTTGAATTTAAATTCTAGACTCGTGAGATTAGTAAACAAATTCGTCATGAAAAACGTCAACTAGAGCGACAAATTAACCGTAATTATTTTTTGTTTTTACTTAATAAAATTTAAACAGGAAAAAAAATGACACTTTTTCTTTTTTCCTAAAGAATCTGATCGTGAAATTCAACGTCTTTCCATTGATATTCGTAAACATGCAGCTAATAATAATAAAGATGCTCTTCGTACATTAGCAAAAGCTATTGTTAAGTAAGTCCTTTCTCTTTTTTGTTTCATCTTTATATTTTAAGATAAAGTCTAATGATTTTTATTTAAGAATAAAACATGATAAAAGTCATTTATATTCAGCAAAAGCTCATCTTGATACAATTGATAATGCTGTTAAAAATCAATTAGGTAATCCATCGTTTTCTTTTTTTTTTTTTTGTTTTTCATTATAAATCAAAGATTTAATTCGACGAATTTTTTGTTTTTTTTAGCAAATGTTAAAATAACTGGAATAATGCAAAGAAGTAATGAAGTTGCTCGTTCAATGGCTCAATTAATGAAAGTTGGACAACTTCAAACGGTAGCTTCACAATTTTCAAAAGAATTAATTAAAGTATAATATACGATTTAAGAAAAAAATATTTTTTTTTTTTCAATCTATTTATTTATCTTTAAGATGGGTATTATGAGTGAAATGATGACTGAAGCAGTTGATGCTGCTATGGATAATGATGAACTTGAAGAAGAAACTGATGAAGAAGTAGCTAAAGTATTAGACGAAGTTCTTACTGGTAAAATAAAAGAAAAGAAAATTTTTATTCTATTTTCTATTTGCATTTTGTTTTAAGGTAAAATAGGTAAATTACCAAGTGTTGCTGTTAGTGGAACAACAATAAAAGAAACTGAACCAGCAGCTGCTGCTGTAGCTGATGTTGATAGTGAAGATGAAATGGAACGACGTTTACAAGCATTAAGAAGTTAAATATTATTGTATATAAGAACATGAATGACAAATCTCTTACATTGAATCTGATTTAAATTTTTTAATTATAATGCCCATAGAAAGGCACCACCATAATATATTAAGTCTTTTCAAATAAAAATTATTCTTTCGAAACAATTGTAAATTTACTGATCTTCTCATACTACACATTTGATAGAATGAAGATAGTAAAAGATAATAAAGTAGTTACAAAAACTTCTGGTACAAGGTAATAAATATCTAAATTTTAATCCTTTAATAGAGAATTTTGAACTCTGATCAATCTTCATATGAAGAAGTTAGAACCGTCAATATAGATTTGTTTCTTCAAACAAGCATATCTCAACATAGAAAATAAATCTCATAACTACATAATGCTATTTCTATCATCAATAAAAATTTCATGTCAAATGGTTTTGATATGCTTAATTTTGTGAAGTAATCTTCACATGAGAGTCGATAGGAATTGTCGAAAAGTGATCGATATCTTCAGTTAATTTTAACTGTTAGTCTTGATATTTTCTACAGTGAATACTCTGCTTTAACCAAGTTTTTCTGTGAAAATTTTATGATTGCAACCATTGATGGAGAAGAGACTGTTCTAGTAGACCCTGGAGACTTCTTCACACCTCAACATTACAGTGGACTGAAATATCCTATTTGTAATACAACATAGACATGTGAATCTTGATTTGTCAATAAGAAAATGGAGGTTAACACATTTAAACGATAGACAATCAAAAAAGTGTCAAAAAAAGCTTTTTTTTGGGTCCTAAGGGAAAAAACAGTGTTTTCATTATAAATCCTTTGCATTAAGGTCTATCGACTTTGGATTGCTGCTTGCGATCATGGTTTACCAAGATCAATTTCTAGTCAAAATACCAAGTTAGAAGATTGAAGTTTATATGGTTTTTACTCTGTTAGCAAACTTTTTGTCACTCATTAGACCTCCAGAATTTATCTTTATCTATCCACGTACATAGGGGAAAATTATTGTCTATACGAAAACTTTTTAATGTAGAAAATTAGCTAATAAAGTTTTTTTTTCGTAGCAATGACAAATTGCATGATTGATTTCTCAATAGAGAACAATCTAACTACTTTTTTTTAAAAATCCTTTCACCATTTAATATATATGTCTCCTTTGACATGTAAGTTTCTTATATTACATTTATGTCATACTTTGTTATGTGCTCAAAATTTAGACAGTATTAGAGTATTTGGTATGCTGATATTATGTGTAATAGGTTAACCTTTGCCTTTTGTTTCCTAATATACATAACAAACTGTTTGCCACAAGCTGTGCGATCGACATGTCGAAAGTAAGATAACAAGTGAGAAAACTTCATTAGCCTGCTAATCCATCACTTTTACTCTATACTCTTTATATCACTCACGGTGGTTTCATCACAATTTGAAGTAACTAATGCTATTGTATAAGAAAAGTAAACAATATCTAACATGAAAATTATTAAGGATTGGTTCACTGATGATTAAATGTTTCTACATACAATGATCAAGACTATCACTGTTTGTTCAATGATTGATGAAGCTAATTTATCTTGTACATAGTATTATTTTATGTGTGTAGTAAGCTCTCTTAGATTTTTTTTATTATATATATATTTTAAAAAAATAATTTATTTTACTTTCACAGTAGAAAAAAATTGTTGGAGGAAATTTTTGTTTTCAGCAACAGATTCTGTACCTCTGATGATCACAATATTATAAAAAAGAAATCAATTTTCATGGATACATAGTGTACGTTATATTTATAGAATAAATAAACTGATCTTGTTTTCCTTTCGAAAACTATTCAATAGTACTTTGATGCACTTATATTAAGTACGTTGTTTTTCTCTTGAAAATAACTGCCATCAAATAGTTAAGTAATCATGATTCTCCGGATATTGTTTTATATTATTTTCTATTCAAAATTAACGATCTATGACATCAAACATATTCTTTTATCATAATTAAATATTCACTCAACAGTCAATATGTGTTTATAAATCATAGAAGATGATTTTTTTTTAATGCTTCTTCTCTACGATCCTATTAATTGAGTTATCTGTCAAAAACTCTTGAACATAAATAACGCGTCTTTGATAAAATGTTTGAATATTCTTTTTGTTTTTTGTTTATTAAATTTTTGTATGATGCTTATAAGGAAATTGATAATCTTCTAGTTCAATATCATCATCACTTTCGCTTGTACTTGATATTATTTCTGGTACTTTTGGTACACCAAATATATACGTAAATGAATGTCCATCATCACTATCAAGATCAATATCATTATTAATTGTTATTGTTTTTTCAATTTGTTTTTGATATTTTTTCATATATTTATTCATTTGTTTGATTTGTATTTGATGATCAACAATAATAATTCGTTTTAATTTAATTGATAAATTTTGAGAATATTGTCGAATAGCACTAATCATTGCACGAACAGCCATTTCATTAGCATAAAGTCTTTTACAAGATAATTTAACTAGAAAAATTAAAATTTTTTTTTTTGTTAAGAACAAAAAAATAATTTAGATTTCAATATTTTTACCATGTGGTTCAAGAATAGGCATTGCAATATTTGTTATATTATTTTGTTCAATAGTTTGTAAAGCATTATAAATTAATTTTTCATATGTTGGTTGAAATGAATCAATCATTGATTTATCTTTTATTACGGTATTATTTGATAAACGTAGAACAGTAAAAAATATAAGAATATTTGCTGGAATTTTTAATCCATGATTTGAGAATAAAATAATCTATTAATTATTGTTTCTTTCTTTTATTTTTAAGTATTTCAATTAAAAACTTACGTCTCCTTCATGGCTATGTGTATTTTTTGTTTTTAATTCTTTAAGATGATTAATAATAGTTGTACCACCTAATGATTGTATTTGTCGATCAAAAGCTTTATGAATATTATATTTATCAGACATCGGAATTCTTTTTAATAGAATATTAAAATAAGAAGATTTCATATTAATAAAAAAAAAAAAAAAGAAAATTTACATAATACTTTCAACGTTTTGTTCAATTAATTTTCCACTCATTATTTTAATATCTATATTTTTACTATGTAAATTTAATGTTTCGGATAAATTTGTATTATTTGACTGATCTTTTTTTTTAGATGCTTTATTAGTAAGAAATGAATGAATAGAATTTAAAATAAATATATGACCTTCTAATAAAATTGATCCATCAGGATTTACTTGAATTTTGCCATCTTAAAAACAAAAAAATTGAAATACTAAAAAAAGAAGTTTAATCAAATAAAAACCGGAAGCATGTAGAAATGGTAAACATTGTTGAAATAATATACTCATATCATTTAATTGCATTATTTGTCCACTAATTGTACATTTTATTTGTTGAAATAATGAACGATTTAAATGAGATAAATGAATTGTTGATCCATTTGAAAGTATATGACGCATATTTAAAATTTTTTCTTCCGCTAATATAAAATATAAAATTTTATATAAGGAATAAAAATAAATAAATATTTTTCAATTTACTTCGTTTAGATTTACATAATAAAAGACCACAATGAATTTGTGTTGGATAAAGTACTTCAACATTTGATGTTAATTTTGAAAAATATTCTTTTAAAACTATTGAACGAATAATTATTGAATTTGATGAAAGTTTTATATAAAATGTAAGTACAATTGGCGTATCCATTTTTATTTTGTTTTAAGTATTAATCAAAAGAAGGATTATTATATTCATGATAATTCAATGTTGTTTCCGCTTCAATGGATTCTTCTGACTCATTATCTAGTTTCAAGGTAATTTTGACATATATGATACAAAAAGAATGAAATAAAACTCGTTCTTTTCAATAGATGAACATTTAAACAAAACAAAAAAAAAAAAACGAATTTCTACTCTTTTGATCTGTAAATAAACTACTTTTGTTTTACTTTCGTTTTAGATGATTTTATTTCAAAATGTATAAAAAAAAATTTGATATAATTATTGTGATATGTTTTAGTTCCTGATTATTATTAATTGTATATAATGAAATAAAATCTTTTTTTTTTTTGTATTAAGAAAACATAAAAAAAAAAAAAAAGAATTTTCTTCTTACAAATATAATATCATTTCATATGCATCCGATCCATGAGACCGGAAAAATGAAAGACATCCACGTGGAGGAAAAAAATTTGTAATATAATATTGTTTATAAAATCCAACTTTTTCATATAATCCAATTGCTTTATAATTATCTACTTGTGTATGTAAAATAATAGCAACATATTTTTGTTTTTGTCCCCAATTTTTAATTGCCTTCAGTAAACGTGTGCCAATACCTTGACCTTGACAGGCTTGTGTAACGCCAAATAAATTGATAAAAAGTACTTTATCCGTATTATAGGTTCGTACAAGTGCACAAGCAACATATTGTTTTTTTGTTGTATTATAAGCACACCATATATGATCCACGTTAGAAATTATGGCACGTAATTCTGAAATACCATAATAATTTCCAAATAAAGGTTCAAGTACGGATTCAACATCATCAAATGAAAATTTCGAATTATGATAAATAGAAATTGGTGATGATGATAATGATAATTTTGATTTATTATCCGATACATTCATTTTAGGTTATTTGTTCTTTTTTTTTTTGGTTTTTTTATTAACAAACAAAATAAATCGACGATTATTTTAACTGAAGTAGAAAAAGAAAACAGATACAGATATACACACAACCACACCTATGCGATGTAGAAATAATATGAATATGACTCATCTAATAAATTGCATTAGTCATTACGTTTTAATCACTACAAGTTTCTTTGATTTCTGCGTGTACAACATCAACAAAAAAAAAAGAAAAAAAAGAAAACTTTTCGATGGTAGATATTAGAAGGTTTAAACAAAAAAAAAAGAAAATTGACGAAAAACAAAAGAGAAAAGCACATATCGACGACGGAATGAATATTGAGAAAGATGACTGATCATCACACCATTGTTCGTAGGGCATCAATTGATTGAATTATAGTTGGCTCCTAGAAAAAGATTTCAAAATATATTTTTCTTTAATAAATAAACTATTTTTGTTTTTGTTTTTACATTTAAACAAAACGACATAAAATCTTCCATTGTTATATATCCATGATGTAATTTGTCAAAACGTTGAAAGACAGTAGCTGTATGTTCTCGAATTGTTTCAAGATCACAACAAGGATTTGAAACATTTCCAAGTAATGAATAAACAGCACAAACAATAACGTGAAAATCCTATTGAAATAAGACAAAAATGTTTTTTTTTTTTTTTTATTGATTTATTAGCTGCATCTTTTTTTGTTTTATTTTCTTGAATTTATAACTCACATCTCGGGTGATTTTGCCAGATTTTCTAGTATCATATAATGTAAATATCCATCGAAGTCGATCTTCAATTGTACCACGACATAATGTTGATAAACAAATAAGAAAATCTTCAAATGTTACACAACCGGACGAACGTAAATCAAATGTTGCAAAGACAAGACGTGCATATGATGATGTATCACCAAATGGGAAAAATTGTCCATAAATATGTTTAAATGTTTCTTCATTAACAATACCTTTATGAAAGAATTTTTCGTATAATAAAAAGAAAAAAAATTAAATTAAATGTAATTCATACCGGACGGACATTCTTGTTTAAAACCTTGATAAATAAGTTGAATTTCTTTTTTACTAAATTTTGTTCGACTTGCTAATTCATCTAGACTACGTGGTTTGTAACGTTTGAATGTTTCTAATCCATCATCATCGTAATCGGTGTCTAAATATATAATTTAATATTTTTATTTTTTTCAAAAATATTGAAAAATCTTATTGTTACTTATAATCTTTGAATTTTATTTTCTTACTTAATTTTCTTGACATGTTTTCTCTGTTGAATAATTTTTGATAAAAAAAAAGAAAAGGAATTCTTTGTAGAAAATTATTATACATGCTGATTACACATATTATTATCTTAACAATGACCATATGCTCATGATTAATCTAACCTATTTTTATATCTCATTACAGAAAAACAATAAAAACAAACAAAAGAAAAGAAGTTTCTATAATTTCTCCTTAATAGCTCTTCTTTCATACAAACTCATTATAATTTCAAACACGATAACATAGATAATGAATTAGTGATCTTATCATTTTTCTTTTTTTTTTTCATGATACTAAATTCATTTCAAGGATAAAATCAATATTATTTTCTCTCTCGTTCTTTGTTTCTATATTATAAACAGCAAGAGCATCTTGACTTCATCCTTTTCTCTTGACAATAATGACTATGTCAATGTTTATACAGAGACAATATGTATCTGTATCACTTCTATTTTTTACTGATGAGATAAATATGCATGCCATTGATGCACATTTTTGTGAATGATACCAAATATGCAACTTTGCACTTAACAAAAAAATATATCATGATTAATGATTACAATAAATTCATAAAATATATCAAATTATGTGTGTTTTTTTTCCTAATTATTATTAAAAATGCATACTTTTATTGTTTTAAAATTTCTTTTTCTTTTTCTTTTCGGCTTCTTAATAAAACATACGTATATATAAAGATTAAGTCGTATAGTAAATTGTCAATTAGTTCGATGACACGTACACATATATATGAAATCTCTAAAGATTCTCGGATAATAATTAAGTTTAGTATAAATATGAATCAAATAAAAGAAAAAATAACTAAGAAAAAAACAAATAGAAAGAAAGAACTTACAGCAGACGGACGAAGAATATTCGTCCATCGTCGATCATCCATACGACTTTTACAACATTAAATGGTTTGAGATCATTGTTAAGAAGAATTGGACAATATATATAGATATATATATGTCTATATGTTTATATAATAATAAGTTATAACTAATCGATTCTTTTCTCCTATGGATCAAAATAACGATTGTGCCATTTCTTCTTATGGTTTTCTCTGATTCTTTTTCTTATTTTTTTTCTTCTGTATCTAAAATAATCGTCTTTTCTAGATAGGAAAATTTGTTATAGTCGTCGGTAATCAATTATTCATAGCACATTGTACGAAAATGAATAGAAGAAAAAAAAAAAAGAAGATTTTAGAAAAATATGGGTAGTCTGGGCATTGATGATGATTGAGAAAAGGCGAGAGTAGAATGTCATGTTGTTATCGTTGTCGTCGTCCGTGAAGGAACCGTTTGTCTTGTTCGAGACATAGAGGACACAGAGAGAGAGAGGGGGATGGAAAAATGACATTTTGAGTGTCTTTTTTATCTCAAACAAAAAAGCGTGTTTCTCTCTCTCTCTCTCTCTATTCCTGTACACGATATTGCATTCAGAAAAAAAAAAGAAGAAAACGAAGAATAAGAAAGAAAAAAAAATGGAAAATGCTCAACCTCAGTCATAATTCTGATGATAATGAATGTTGAATAAAGTAAACTGGCTATGTGTTCAACAAGAATAATGATGACAGAACTGACAGACTATACGTCAAAGTATTGAACATAGTAGAAGATTCTCTTCAATTCTTTTTTTGTTCCTAAATCCAGCTTTGTTATCTTTCGGACGAATAGAAAGAATATGGCACAGTAAATAGATTTCTTCTTCAGATGCAAAACTTTTTTCTCGCTCTTCCATTGTCGTTCTTAGTTGCGCACATTCTTCATTCACTTTGCTTATCTCTCTCTTGTTCGCTCTCAACTCTAAAAAGATTAATGGTTGACGAGAAGAGTAGAGGACTAGATTGTGTTTGTTAGAAAAAAAAAAAAAAAAAAGAGGAAAAAACGCGAGAAAACGCATGATATTATATACCAGTCGTGGCGTTAGAATCTTCCTTGTCAGAAAGATATATATATATATGTAATATATAATATATGAATGCTATTCTATGAAATGTCATATAAGAATGATTGTGCACATGGTTTATATTTTCATATTATAGATAATGATAGAGTGAAGTGACGAAACAAGCTTAATTTAGGAATACATAACTCATCATTATCTTTAACTGCTAATATTACTTTTACAGCAATCCATACATCATCATTCGTCTATCAGCTGCTGCTCATATATACAAATAATATAGTTAGCATAATTGACAAATAAATAATTCGCCAATCGAGCAGTCAAAAGGGACAGATTGTCTCCATAAAAAAAAAGCGAACAAGAGGCGTGTCATGTTAATGTATATAACATCATTGTGATATGTACTTAACAATGTAAAAGAAAAAGAAATTTACTAATCTATAAATAAAATATTGACATTTGGTCCGTTTGTTGGTTTTCTTTTTGACAGTAGACTAAATTTCTAATAAGTAACTGACAGAAGGAAAAATCATTCAAAAACAATAGATAATTGGACATGCATATTTTGAATTTGTTTCTGTACAACATCAAACAAACAAATGAATTTCTTTGATGAAAACATACAAATCCATTTTATAAATATTATCATTTCCAGATAAAGAACATAAATATACAAATATATATTTATGTTCAATAATTTTCTTATTGCGTTTTTTTCTTTTCTATTAATTATTTCAAGTCAAGTCACACAAGATTTATTCATCTAAATAAATTGACTCGTTTTTTTTTTTTCCTTATAATCTACTTGAATAATCATGATTATGACAGCTATACTTTGAAACCTATGAAAAACACAATATATATCTCTTGATACTTATTTTTTTTTTGTCGAAAGAGATTATTTCTGAAATACAAAAAAAAAGAAAAGTTTCTCTTTTCTTAATAGCAAACTCTTATTTCTTTTTTCAAATTATAAACTATTCATAAAGAAAATATTTTCCCTTTTTTTGTTTTCTTCTTACATAATTATATTTTTCACGAAAGAAAATAAATAAATCATTGATAATTTAATATATAATTAAGAAAAGCATAAACGGTACCAGTTGATAAACATGATATCAACAACAAGTCATTATAAATGTCAAAAAAAACATAATGAAATGAAATAAAGGTCAATTGGCGTATTATGATTTAATATCAAATGTAACTTAAGGGTACCATATTCAACAAATCTAATATATATTAGAAATGATTTTTTTTCTTCTCTATTCAACATCAAGACAATCGATGAACTTCCTAAGCACGTTATGGTACGAAAGAAAAACATTTCCGGAATGGTATGTGCATGCTCGAACATCATTATCTTTCTTTTTCTTGTTTTGATTAGTTTCATTTTAAAAGAAACATGCGTACATTTTCATTTTTGTTTATATCAAAAAAAAAAAAAAACAAGAAATAACAAAATAACTTACTTGCTGCAAGTCGTGTACTAATTACCATAGCAACACCCATTATTTTTCTTTTTAAATGTTGTTGACAACAAGAAGATAGAGAAGAACAAAGGTAATAAAAGAAAAACAATCAATATTTTTGAAGCTGAGTAGATACTTCAGAATCTTCTTAATATTTCTTATCTTTGTCGAGTCGATTGTTTTTGGTAAGAATGATGCAGAATAATAGCATCATATACAAACCAACATATGTCATTCATTCGTACAAATATGCAATAGGAAAACTTACATGTATCAGGTATATTACTGTTTACTATATTTAAAAAAGGAAAACAAAAAATCTACAAAAAAAGAAAT